GGAGGAGGAGGAGGAGGAGGAGGAGGAGGAGGAGGAGGAGGAGAAAGAAGAAAGAAGAATAATTAAATGTGGGAAACAGACCTGCAGCCTATGTGTGTGTATTTGCACAGCAGGGGAGGTCCAGGTAGGGGTAATTCCTGGAGATGTGGACCAGGCCCTGCCCCCCAACTAGAGGTCAAATAGTCTCAGCAGGGCTCCTGGCCCCTGCCAGCGCCTGGGACACAATGGCTGGGCTAGCCAGATCACTCTTGTCCACTCCAACATCAATTCCTGGGACACTCAGGTGTCACCTCTCCCTTGCACACCCTTTTCGCCTCCCAGCCCCACCCAGCAGCCAGCCCAGGCTGGTGACTGACAGGAAGTTCAAAGATCAGGCTGAGAAAAAACCCGGAGGCATCCGGGGCTCTGAATCCAAAGGTCTCCCCACTCACACACCTGGGGACACACGCTACTCCGGGAGGTGATTTGCGACTTAGCCAGGCCCCCAAGGTTGGGCTGCTGTACGGAGAAAGTCTGCCCAGGTCCACATCCGAGCCTTCATCGTTTGTCCTCCGGGTTCTGCGGTCCTGCTGGAAGAGGGGAGCTTCTACAATGGGAGTTGCCACAGCCCCGCCGCCCCCCACCACCTCCAAAACCCTACAGAAGCAGTATCTAGAAGCAGTGGGCGCCTACCAATATGTGCTCACTTTCCTCTTCATGGGTGAGAGCAGGGGAGGCATGGGTGCCTGGGGTCTGCCAGGGGAGTAGGCCTTGGAGGGAGAGTGGCTGGGCTGCTGGCTTGCATGCCTAAGGACAGTGAGCAGGTGACTGGTCTGGGAGAGGGCCAGAGGAGATAGCTGGTTGATCTGAAGGGGAGGAAGGGAAGGGAGCAGCTGGAGGGAATGATGGAGTTTCAGAAGTGAACTCTTTTCTTCCTCATCCTTCACCCAGGCCCTTTCTTCTCCCTTCTTGTCTTTGTCCTCCTCTTCACATCACTCTGGACCTTCTCTGTTGTTTACTTGGTGTGGCTCTACGTGGACTGGGACACACCCAACCAAGGTGAGCTCCGGATGGGGGCCCAGATAGCCAGAGATGGTGGGGACATGGGGGGTAAGGGGAGGTGGCTCCAGGGGTTCTTCCACCAGTATCTCATTGTCTGCAGGTGGAAGGCATTCGGAGTGGATAAGGAACCAGGCAATTTGGAGACAACTAAGGGACTATTATCCTGTCAAGGTGATGGGTCACCCTGAAGAAACTGCTTCCTCCCTCTCCCTATCTCCCACACCTAGAAGCCCTTCCCTGTGCTGGGGCCTGAGTTCCCTGCTGCCTAAACTCAGGCAGGGGACAGGGAATGGATGGTGGGGTTTTTTTTGTTTTTTTGTTTTTTTGTTTTTTGAGACGGAGTCTCGCTCTGTCACCCAGGCTGGAGTCCAGTGGCGCGATGTCGGCTCACTGCAAGCTCCGCCTCCCGGGTTCACGCCATTCTCCTGCCTCAACCTCCTGAATAGCTGGGACTACAGGCGCCCACCACCATGCCCGGCTAATTTTTTTGCATTTTTAATAGAGATGGGGTTTCACCATGGTAGCCAGGATGGTCTCAATCTCCTGACCTCGTGATCCGCCTGCCTTGGCCTCCCAAAGTGCTGGGATTACAGGCATAAGCCACCACGCCCAGCCTTGTTTTAAGACCGAGTCTCCTTCTGTCACAGAGGCTGGAGGGTAGTGGTACAATCTCAGCTCACTGCAACCTCCACCTCCTGGGTTCAAGCTATTCTCATGCCTCAGCCTTCCTAGTAGCTGGGATTATAGGCGCCCGCCACCATGCCTGGCTAATTTTTGTAGTTTTAGTAGAGACAGGTTTCAACATGTTGGCCAGGCTGGTCTCAAACTACTGGCCTCAAGTGATCCAGCTGCCTCGGCCTCCCAAAGTGCTGGGATTACAGCCATGAGCCACCGCGCCCGACTTGGGAGTGGATGATGTTCAAGAGTGGGACCTTGGTGGGGCACCATGGCTCATACCTATAATCCCAGCACTTTGGGAGGCCGAGGTGGGAGGATCGCTTGAGCCCAGGGGTTAGAGGCTGCAGTGAGCCGTGACTGCACCACTGTACTCCAGCCTGAGCAACAGAGTGAGACCCTGTCCCTAAAAAACTAAAAAATAAAAAATAAAAAGAGCCTGGGTGCGGTGGCTCAAGCCTATAATCCCAGCACTTTGGGAGGCCAAGGTGGGCAGATCACAAGGTCAGGAGTTCAAGACCAACCTGGCCAACATGGTGAAACTGCGTCTCTACTAAAAATACAAATACAAAAATAAGCTGGGCATGGTGGCACGTGCCTGCAATCCCAGCTACTAGGGAGGCTGAGGCAGGAGAATAGCTTGAACCTGGACGGAGAGGCGGAGGTTGCAGTGAGCCGAAATCGCGCCACTGCACCTCAGCCTAGGCTACAGAGTGAGACCCCGTCTCAAAAACAAACAAACAAACAAACAAAAAACAAACCTGGGCCCTTGACCGTATCCGAAGAACCTTTAACTCGGAACTCTGTTGGGGTGGAGGGCCCCTCTTTTCAACCAGTGTCTTGCCTTCCATCCTCCATTCATCCTGCTCAACACCCGGAAGCTGGTGAAAACGGCAGAGCTGCCCCCGGATCAGAACTACGTGCTAGGCGCCCACCCTCATGGGATCATGTGTACAGGCTTCCTCTGTAATTTCTCCACCGAGAGCAATGGCTTCTCCCAGCTCTTCCCAGGGCTCCGGCCTCGGTTAGCTGTGCTGGCTGGCCTCTTCTACCTCCCGGTCTATCGCGACTACATCATGTCTTTTGGTGAGCCCAATGGGAGGAGGCGACTCCTAACCAGATGTTCCCCAGCCCCTCTGGGATCCCCCCGCCCATAATAAGTCCCCCACCCAGGACAGGGCCAGCCTGAGCATTGGCCAGACTTGCAGTGAGAATTTGGGTAGGTTCCCTGCCTTGGAGATGGGGATGGCTTTAAACTGAAGGCTGGGTGAGGGGCGGGGGTGCCGTGGAGGCAGATGAGGACTACTTTCCACCTCCTCCTGCCCACAGGACTCTGTCCCGTGAGCCGCCAGAGCCTGGACTTCATCCTGTCCCAGCCCCAGCTCGGGCAGGCGGTGGTCATCATGGTGGGGGGTGCGCACGAGGCCCTGTATTCAGTCCCCGGGGAGCACTGCCTCACGCTCCAGAAGCGCAAAGGCTTCGTGCGCCTGGCGCTGAGGCACGGGTGAGTGCGCGGGCAGGCCCTACCTGTCAGTTCTCTGCTGGTTTATGCCCTCTCTCAGTCCGCAGACATCTAGGTCCTTGCAGGGGGCATCTGGGTGCCCAGAGACCAGCGCCGTGCCCTGCACCGAGGCCCACGTGGGCTCTCCAGGGCATGACTCGGTGCCAAACATGGGGCCGGCTTACCCCAGCCTCCCTTCCACCTCCGTGGAGACAAAACCATAATGCAAATAGCAGAGCCCTGGGGCTCAGAAGCCCTGTCTTCCCTCTCTGACCCCATCTCAAAAGCAAAACCTTGTGCTTGTTTCTCTTTTTGTTATTGTTGTTGAGACAGAGTCTGGCTCTGTGGCCCAGGCTCGAGTGCAATGGCGTGGTCTGGGCTCACTGCAACTTCCGCCTCCCCAGTTCAAGTGATTCTCCTGCCTCAGCCTCCAGAGTAGCTGGGACTACAGGCGCCCACCACCACACCGAACTAATTTTTATATTTTTAGTAGAGACAGGGTTTCACCATTTTGGCCAGGCTGGTCTCAAACTCCTGACCCCAAGTGATCCGCCCACCTCAGCCTCCCAAAGTGCTGGGATTACAGGTGTGGTTAGTCACAAAACCCACAGTGCTGGGATTATAGGCGTAAGCCACCATGCCCGGCCAGACTTGTTTCTTTACTTGTGAAGAGGGCTGATACCTACCTTGCCACAATGTTGTTATTGCAAAGACTGAGAGAAAATGACTATGAGAAGGCCCACTACACAATTCAAGAAGAGTGAGTCCTGGCTGGGTGTGGTGGTTCACACCTGCAATCCCAGCGCTTTGGAAGGCCAAGGCAGGAAGATCTCTTGAAGCCAGGAGTTCAAGACCAGCCTGGGCAATGTAGGGAGACCTCATTCTCTACAAAAATATATTTTAAAAAAATTAGCCAGGTGTGGTAGTGCTTGCCTGAAGTTTCAGCTACTCGGGAGGCTGACGTGGGAGGATGACTTGAGCCAAGGAGGTTGAAGCTGCAGCGAGCTATGATTGTACCACTGCCCTCCAGCCTGGGCAAGAGAGCAAGGCCTTGTCTCTTTTTTAAAAATTTAATTTATGTATTTATTTTAAATTTTCTAATTTTTAATTTTTTTAATTTTTGGAGATGGAGTCTTGCTCTGTTATCCAGGCTTGAGTGCAGTGATGCGATCTTGGCTCACTGCAACCTCTACCTCCTGAGTTCAAGCAGTTCTCCTGTCTCAGCCTCCCAAGTACCTGGGATTACAGGTGCACATCACCACATCGGTTAATTTTTGTATTTTTAGTAGAGACGGGGTTTCACCATATTGGTCAGGGTGGTCTTGAACTCCTGACCTCAGGTGATATACCCACCTGGGCCTCCCAAAGTGTTGGGATTACAGGCGTGAGCCACCGCGTATAGCTATTTATTTTTTGAGAGTCTCACTCTGTCACCCAGACTGAAGTGCAGTGGTGCGATCTTGACTCACTGCAACCTCTGCCTTCCAGGTTCAAGCAATTATTATTATTATTATTATTATTTTTTGAGACGGAGTCTCGCTGTGTCTCCCAGACTGGAGTGCAGTGGGACGATCTCGGCTCACTGCAAGCTCCACCTCCCAGGTTCACGCCATTCTCCTGCCTCAGCCTCCCGAGTAGCTGGGACTACAGGCGCCCTCCACCACGCCCGGCTAATTTTTTGTATTTTTAGTAGAGACGGAGTTTCACCGTGTTAGCCAGGATGGTCTTGATCTCCTGACCTCGTGATCCACCCGCCTCGTCCTCCCAAAGTGCTGGGATTACAGGCGTGAACCACCATGCCCAGCGTCAAGCAATTATTGTACCTCAACCTCTGTAGTAGCTGGAATTACAGGTACGCACCTCCACACCTGGCTAATTTTTATATTTTCGCAGAGACGGGGGTTTCACCATGTTGGCCAGGCTGGTCTCCAACTCCTGACCTCAAATGAGCCTCCCCTCAACCTCCCAAAGTGCTGGGATTACAGGTGTGGTTAGTCACAAAACCCTCTCTCTAAAACAAAGAAAAAGAACAAGAAAGAAACGTGAGTCCTGTCTTCTAGATCTTTCTTTGTAGCCATAGTCATATGCTTTGAATGGCCCTGGAGAGTAGCATCTGGATGTAGTGGGAGGGACTTACAGCCTCTGGGGGTGACCATCTGGGAGCAGCCCAGCAGCCTGAGCCCCCTCTTCTCTCTTGCTCCTTCCCAGGGCATCCCTGGTGCCCGTGTACTCCTTTGGGGAGAATGACATCTTTAGACTTAAGGCTTTTGCCACAGGCTCCTGGCAGCATTGGTGCCAGCTCACCTTCAAGAAGCTCATGGGCTTCTCTCCTTGCATCTTCTGGGGTCGCGGCCTCTTCTCAGCTACCTCCTGGGGCCTGCTGCCCTTTGCTGCGCCCATCACCACTGTGGGTGAGTGCCCACCTCCGGGGGGACAGCCACCAGCCGCTGAGTGGGCATCAGGGACCCCTCACCCACCTATGTCTCCCTTTCCCTGCAGTGGGCCGCCCCATCCCGGTCCCCCAGCGCCTCCGCCCCACCGAGGAGGAAGTCAATCACTATCATGCCCTCTACATGAAGGCCCTGGAGCAGCTCTTTGAGGAGCACAAGGAAAGCTGTGGGGTCCCCGCTTCCACCTGCCTCACCTTCATCTAGGCCTTATGCTGAGCCCCTGAGCCTAAGGCACTGAGACCTCCATCCACTGTGGACTCCATGCCTCCAATAAAAGGTAGTTCTGGGCCCAGCGCAATGCCTCATGCCTATAATCCCAGTACTTTGGGAGGCCGAGGTGGGAGGATCGCTTGAGCCCAGGAGTTGAAGACCAGCCTGGGCAACATAGTGAGACTTCATTTCTACAAAAATTAAAAAATAATATTGCTAATTAGCCGGGCATGATGGCATGTGCCTGTGATCCCAGCTACTCAGGAGGCTGAGGCAGACCTGCTTGAACCCGGGAGGTGGAGGTTACAGTGAGCTGAGATCGCACCACTGTACTCCAGCCTGGGCAACACAGCAAGACTCAATCTTGAAAAAAAAAAAAAAAAAGAGTTGTTAAAGCTATAGTAGGCTGGGTGTGGTGGCTCATGCCCGTAATCTCAACACTTTGGGAAGCCGAGGCAGGTGGATCACCTGAGGTCAGGAGTGCAAGACCAGCCTGGCCAACATGGCAAAACCCCCTCTTTACTAAAAATACAAAAAGTAACCAGGCATGGTGGCTCATGCCTATAATCCCAGCTACTCAGGAGGCTGAGGCAGGAGAATTACTTGAACCCAGGAAGCAGAGGTTGTAGTGAGCTGAGATCGCACCACTGCACTCCAGTCTGGGCAACAGAGCGAGATTCCATCTCAAAAAAAAAAAAAAAAAAAAAAAAGTTGTTAAATCTATAATCATTCTGGAAGTGAACATGGCCAGGCATGACTCGCCCCCATCCTGATGTGCTGCAAAGCCGCTGCCTTAGATCGGGTATCAGGACCCTGAACTGTCCTCCCAGTGAGAGTTCAGTCTGTGGCATGACCTTGGACAAGCCTCTTCCTTTTGCCTGTTTACTTCTTTGTCCATAAATAAAGGCATCTGCTTAGCAAAGAGCTGTTGCGCATTGAGGTGGAGTTAGGAGGGAGGATCTGTGGAGGGGCAGGCTTTGAAGAGTGAACAGGATTTAGGTGGAGGTGAAGTTAGGGTAGATGGTGGAATTCCAAGAGCTAAAGGTAAGAGCAGTGAAGGACACTTAACAGGACGGGGAAATGGTACCATCGCCAGTGAAGGAAAGATAGAGTTAAGAACACAGCTTACGGCCAGGCGCCGTGGCTCATGCCTGTAATCCCAGCACTTTGGGAGGCCGAAGCAGGTGGATCATGAGGTCAAGAGATCAAGACCATGCTGGACAACATGGTGAAACCCTGTCTGTACTAAAAATACAAAAATTAGCTGGGCGTGGTGGTGCTCTCCTGTAGTCTCAGCTACTCAGGAGGCTGAGGCAGGAGAATCACTTGAACCCTGGTGACAGAAGTTGCAGTGAGCCAAGATCATGCCACTGCACTCTAGCCTAGCCAATAGAGTGAGACTCTGTAAAAAAAAAAAAAAAAAGGCCGGGTGCGGTGGCTCAAGCCTGTAATCCCAGCACTTTGGGAGGCCGAGACGGGCGGATCACGAGGTCAGGAGATCGAGACCATCCTGGCTAAC